AAGATTTATATCTATTGAGGTGTTAGCCAGTAGACTCAGATACAAGCTATGTAAACTACTGTTTGATATAACTGCTTAACCCATTCAGAATTAAATATGAATTTGTGCTAGGTGGGACTGGGACCCATAAATCATGTGTATGACTACCAGCAGGCTATGTCAGCCAGTTTGAGTATGCCATAGGCCAAATCATTTTGCAGATTAATTTTATCTAAGGGCCTTTAAAGGCTTTTTGCAAGGAACAAAGACGGAGTCACAGTGGCTTGCTGCCATGCCAAATATTTCCTGGTTTGCACTAGTTTTTATATTCCACAAGTTCTGGAAGAATCAGCTCAGTGTAGATATGCCAAATGAAATTCCTTTTATGCATTTGGATGACATTACCTCTCCAATTTTGGAAGCCCTCCTGAGGAAGTGCAGTGGTAGGGGACGTCCAATGGCGAAATTTAGCACACGCAGAATTTGCATCTCCATATCTCTGATCTGTGCCTTTGTGTAGGTGTGATCTGTCACAAAGGTGAAGTCTCCAATCTCAGGTGGATACATCTCTTCATACTTTGCAGCAAGGAACATTGCTGTCACCCCTACAAGCTGCAGCTGGCTTTTAGGAACAGGGTGCTCCTAGAAAATAGTTAGGATAAGTCAGGAATCCACCGATTTAAGAACTTCCTATATGTTGGACAAGTGATAGAAAGCTTTAGAGAACTAGGTGGTGCACAGTCATGCACCCTCGCGTGGTCAGCTTTACATTCAGTAATGACTGATTGCCATCCTTTAGATGTTAAAAGTTTGAACTAAATCAAAGTTAAGGAAGCTCAGTACATGCAAATAAAAGTTAGACAGACACTAAAACTCTTCAGATGGACCACAGCAAGCAGATGTTCCTAGTCATGTAGTGTTTTGCAAGCTGTGACCAAGATCCCTTGTGATCTGTATCAGACATCTTCAAACCACAGCACAAGTTTATACATCACCCTAAAAGAAGAGGGTCTGCAGTAGTGACTGGTTTGTCATGGTGTCTAAAAGACACCAGCACACAAGTACCATGTAAATGCTCCAGCCATCCAAAGGCGAGGTGCTCCATGTCAGGCAGACATAGCGGACTTCACCAGAACAGTCTTCAAAAAGGGTAAGCGCAGGCAACACGCCAATAGTAAGGATTGTATTTTATTAACAGGTGAACCTCACAGAAAGTGAAATGTTTCGGCTCAGAGCCGTAGTCATGCATATATGATATAGGCCCCGCTGAGCCTAAATATTGCACTCTGGGGTGGTTCACCTGTTAATATTTTTTAACATTGAGTGAAGCCTGTGTTTACTTTGATGGTTTGTCATGTGATCTTCTCTACAGTCTTTGCATCTGAAGGGATGTTCCTGTACTACAGCTTAATCATATCTATGCATTGTTTGCTCACCTGCAAGAAGCGATCAATGATACCAACAGTCATAAACATAGTCTCCTGCAGCAAGCGAAATTTCATCTGAACCTGGACCAGCCAGTCGATCAGTATAGCCCGCATGTTTCCTGTGATTTCCTGTCCTTGCAGGTAGTTTGGCCTGATGCATAGTGAAACCTTAAAGGAGAAGTTGTAACAGTTAGCAGAGTTACCTGAATATATGAAGTTGGTCTTTAGGTTTCAGTGTGCTTTGTAGTGTCAAATTTAGTGACGTTTCTGCCAACATTTGACATCAAGGTACAGAAGAGTGTCACATTACATCCCTGGTAATATAGGCACATTGGCCAAGCTATTTCAGAGAACGTTTAAGTTTCTGCATGTTGTAGGAAGCCTTACTGGGAGAATTACATAAACTACACTAACTTTAGAAATAAAGTTCTGTTGTCCATATATAGACCTAGAGGACACTATAGCAAAGATGCTTACGGGACAAGGAGTGATTTGCTTTATTACATAAAGGGTCAGTAATACAAGGATTAATGTCATATTTTACAAGTGGAAGCAGTTTTAGACTGAATTAAAGTAATGTTTACGATTGCTTTTCTGCTAGTGCCAATACACAAAGCTCTGGGTACTTCTGTAAAGTCTCCTCCTAGAGAGATCTCAGTAATGGGAACTATGGAAACATAGTAACATGTTTACCCCACCAGAGGCTTACCTCTAAGCTCCCGAGATAGTTGTAGATGTCCTTAACGTATTCACTGCAGAGCATAGGATTACCTTCGTCATCTACATCCACATCCTTTACTTCAATGAGGACATCTGAGAAAGCTTGGCACAGCTCCTCCGGAATACATCCAGAGGTCTCCATTGGGCTGGGAGAACTTGGCTCAGCCTGCTAGAGAGGACATACAAACAGGTCTGGTTAGAGTGCTTCATCTGCCAACACATGTTTAATAGCACAGCGACAAAAAAAAGTTTTGTAGGATATTATTGGGTGAAGAGATATCGAAACATTTGTCCAGCCATCACAGCAATGTTTGGGTTGAAGAAATTGTTTATTCACAATAGCAGGAATATTTACAAGCATGAGAATTTCTAGTTTGGCCTTAAATTTGAAATTCCCTTGAATTCATACTTCCAGGTGTTAGTGACTCTGCAGTAATATGGGATTATGAAGCTGTGTGGAACCCTGGGGGGGGTCAGGATTTGGTACAGCATGTTAGAGGGGATCATGGTACCTCAGGAAGAGGGAGGCAGGCATTTTCTGGCTTCACTTTCACTGGTTCTGGCACTTTTTCCACAGGCTTGGGCTTCTTGACAATTTTTGCTGCAGGCTTCAGTTCCTGAAAACAGGAGCCAATTAGACACAGATACGTTTATTCAGCATGTAGAGGTAGAAACAAACTAGAACGCTTACCTTTTTAAGTTGCACCTTGGGTTCTGCCTTGTTGCCAATGTCACCAAGTGCAGTACGAGGCCTCAGGCCTGGCTTGGCTGCCAAAACCCTCTTGCCAATGGGGGCTTTTACATTGTTTTCTGTGTTGGACAGCATATTCTGGAAGACAAGTCATTGAAAGTGTTATACATCGAAACAAGCAATAGAACCTCTGTTTTACATGCAAGATACCAGGCAGTGCTGCAACCCAGTAGATTAAGCAGACTGAATGCTTTATAGATCACAAAGCCACTTCTAAATCAAGTCAGTTTTAGTACCAGTGTAAAAATGTAATCAAGCCCCACCGGCTAGGGTAGTTTAAATGCTGCCATGTGGAACAGCTTTTAGTTTAGAAAATAGGAGCAGACACCTAGAAACAGAGCCTGTGCATTAAAATCATAAGTGGATTGCTTTCACTAAATTAAAAGAGACTACTAGACAAACCCAAAAGGCATGTTTTGTGAAAAACTCCCACCTCAGATATTCAGCATTGTTATTTCAGCCTAGGTTACACTGCACAGACTTCAGTCCATGGCAACTGATTATTAATCCAAAGTCAAAAGTTGTATTTTTTAGATTATAATGTTAGTAACATTTTATATTGTAATGGGCTGTGACCACTGCATTATAGCAGTTAGATGTAGTAGCGAGTCTATTAGGCTAATCTTTGTTGCAAGGTCTTCAGCCTATTGTTCCTGTAACATTTTACAATTGTCTCATTTATCAGAATTCTTCCTTGCATTATATTGTAAAATGCTGCAGAATATGTTTGATCAATATGAATGCCAATAACAGATATGCTCTATGCTGTCTGGGGGGGGAGGGTTGGATCTGGAGCATGGCCCTATTGCTAGGAGACTCAGGTGGGGGATTTGTGGCTGAACCTTCAGAAGCCCAAGAGAATCCTGCATCATTGCATTGTCAATGAACCTTCTCAAAACACAATAACCACCACCCTCCACCCATGGGGTTTGTGGGCCCAGGACAATGCAGCCTGTCTGATGTGATATTTTGTAAATAAATAGCTTTGCAGACTGCCTGTAGCCCCTTGATATTGTTATTAATACACAGCAAGCTCCTAGAGGTCCTGGCCTAACACTGATAACAAGGACCCCAGGCAGGCAGTGAGGGAGGTCAGGCTGGCAGCCATTTTAGGCAGGGTTTTACCAAGCTAAGCTAGCCACTGGCTCACCTCCATTAACCCTCCAGGAAGGCTACCTACCCCCCGGTTATAGGAGTGTACACCCAGCCCTAGGTAGGTCCACCACAAGGCACAGCCCCCCACGGAGGAGACTACAACTCCCAGAGTGCTCAGCCAGCTGATAATGTATGGGGGGGTCTGGCCATGCAGGGAGTGAGGAGGTGGGTTATTAGTTATAGATAAGGAGATATAAAGTGTATTATAATATTACAATAATAGGCGACATCCCATAATCAGTATATCGGTAATAGATTATAATAACACATTATAGATTATAACAGGCGACATCCCATAATAACTCACCCTGGTAACCCGGAGAGACATGGTATCGATATATCGGCAGAGCAAGGTATCGGTATATCGAGGTATCGGCAGAGCAGGGTATCGTGGTATATCAGCGAGGTATCGGTATATCGAGGTATCGGCAGAGCAGGGTATCAGCAAGGTATCGGTATATCAGCAAGGTATCGGCAGACAGTGCTAAGTAGCTCGCTGCGTCCTTCTCTCTCGGCTGCCAGCACGCATATAGTCCTCCTTCCGGGGATTCAGTTTAAATCTCCCGCACGCCGCTCCTCATTGGTCAGTTCGGAACGCTCTGCCGCTCCCCCATTGGCTGCCGCGGAATGAGTTCGAATGCGTTGCCGTGGAGACGGCAGCGGGGAGGAGCGCGGTTGCCGCTGCCTGTGTGAGCGAGTCATTGACAACGCTGCACCCCGGGGGGAGGGGAGGCACCCAATGGGAAGAGCGCACAGATACATTCATTGACAGCGCCACCTAGCGACTGCAAGCTGTAACTGCACCCCGGGGGAGGGAGGCAGCCAATAGGAACAGCGCCGCCTAGCGACTGCAAGCTGTAACTGCACCCCGGGGGAGGGAGGCAGCCAATGGGAACAGCGCCGCCTAGCGACTGCAAGCTGTAACTGCACCCCGGGGGAGGGAGGGAGGCAGCCAATAGGAACAGCGCACAGCCACATTCAAATGCCAGCAATATAGGGACCTAACCAGGCCAGGCATGGCTGTCTGAGAGTAGTGGGAGTTACAGCCACATTCAAATACAGTAATAGAGGGACCAGGCCAGGCATGGCTGTCTGAGAGTAGTGGGAGTTACAGCCACATTCAAATACAGTAATAGAGGGACCTAACCAGGCCAGGCATGGCTGTCTGAGAGTAGTGGGAGTTACAGATTTTAGCTACATTCAAATAATAGAGAGGCCAGGCCAGGCATGGCTGCCATGTAATTCAGCCCTCTCCCTCTCTGTCAGCATAGAGATAAATGAATGCTGATAAGATAACTGTACATTGCCAGAATGTAACTCCCACTAATCTCAGACAAATCTGTATTCCTAATGTTATAGTGTCCCTGTCAATAGTACTTCTTCCCCCCCTCCGACTGTCACTGACAGTGTTAAAAATCCTTCTGTACTTTTTCACCTCTCCTCTCTAGGTGATGTCATTGAAGAGACAAGGCCTACTATGGCGGGGTCCAGCTCATCATTGGGGACCTAATGCACGCGATTGAATTAATGCTTTCCTACAGGCATTTACTTGGTCGGTGCCGCAGAAGCACCTCTAGTGGATTTTAATACAACAGCCAGCAGGAACGGAGTTCACCCAACAATGTAAACATTTCAGTTTTTCAAAAACCGCATTGTTTTACATTGCAGGGTTGACGGGACAAGGACACTAGGCCCAGATCACATCATTTAAAGGAACACTATAGGCACCCAGATCACTTCTTTTTAAATACTTTATTTTTGGGTGGAGCAACCCTTTAACATTCACGAAACAGAAACCAGACTATGCATATAAATTAATCTCTTAATAGCTTTCCCACCCCGCACCTTACTGGGCCCTCAACTCCCTCTGTTCCTGTGTGTCCAACTCGTCTGGCAATTACTTGTCTGTTAGTCCTCCTCTTGTACAGAATACGGAATTTGTTGGCTCTTTATAAACAATAAACTTTTTAATAATAATAATAATAATAAGTGTAAGGCTGCTTTCAGCTCACAGAGCTGTCCCACTCATCCTGTTTAATGAGTAGAATTGTTTTTAAGGATAAACATTGTATTCCATTACTTAGCTTAGCATATGCTAAGGCACAACCACTCAAAGTGAGTGGAGGGAAACAAAAGTTTTTTAATTCAATAAAAGTATGTTATTGTAACGCATTATTGTATATCTCCCAAAATTTCAAATGGACAAAGAGGGACACTTTAATTTTGAGGGCGTCGTCATGGGACAGAGCTATTCTGAGAAATGTTAGGTGACTTACTAATTAGCAATTTATTCATCTAAAATGTCATTTAGAACAAGAGCAATGTATCTTATTTACAAACACCAATTTCTAAACACATTTATTAAAGACACATTACTGGGAGTATTATTGTTGTGTAGCTCTGTTATACACTCAGTCACATTACTGGGAGTATTATTGCTGTGGAGCTCTGTTACACACTCAGACACATTACTGGGAGTATTATTGCTGTGGAGCTCTGTTATACACTCAGTCACATTACTGGGAGTATTATTGCTGTGGAGCTCTGTTATACACTCAGACACATTACTGGGAGTATTATTGATGTGAAGCTCTGTTATACACTTGGACACATTACTGGGAGTATTATTGCTGTGGAGCTCTGTTATACACTCAGACACGTTACTGGGAGTATTATTGCTGTGGAGCTGAGTTATACACTCAGACACGCTACTGGGAGTATTATTGCTGTGGAGCTGAGTTATACACTCAGACACGCTACTGGGAGTATTATTGCTGTGGAGCTGAGTTATACACTCAGACACATTACTGGGAGTATTATTGCTGTGGAGCTCTGTTATACACTCAGACACATTACTGGGAGTATTATTGCTATGGAGCTCTGTTCTACACTCAGACACATTACTGGGAGTATTATTGCTGTGGAGCTCTGTTATACACTCAGACATTACTGGGAGTATTATTGCTGTGGAGCTCTGTTATACACTCAGACACATTACTGGGAGTATTATTACTGTGGAGCTCTGTGATACACTCAGACACATTTCTGGGAGTATTATTACTCAGACACACCAGCAATTCAGATAGAAAAGGGGGATTTGGACCCAAAATAGGGACTTTCCCTCCTAAATAGGGACACTTGGGAGGTATGTTATCTGTATGTATTATCTGCTTAATTTTAAATAAAGTGGTATTATGCTTTACACAGACTCCTATAATAGAATGATTCAGGGCAGTGCAGCAGTGTGTAACACTGTCCTCATTCACACCCCATGTGTCAGCATCTAGGAACCTTTCTTCCCCGGAACCTTTGTGCACAGCCTCCTGCATCCTCCTGCGGGGGATGCATTTCCGGTGTGTCACGGATGTGGCCGGCTGGCGATGGGAAGATGGCGGCGGCCATGATGCAGATGTCACTGGGTTACCGGGGACTCCTGGCAGTCCGGAGCCGGGGGACGGGCCCGCTGAGCCTGGGCTTCGTGTCTCCCCAGCTGCGGGCCTTCTCTGTGCGGAAAGAGCCGGAGCTGGAGGAGAATCCATATTACAAGAAATACCAGGACCGGATCCAGCAACTGCGCCGGTATGTGTCACAGGAACAACAAGAAAGGAACAACCTCCGGATCCAGCCCGAACAGCCCTCCCTGCCACCTGAATACCCTTCCCAGTTGACATGGAGAGAACCCCTCCCCAGCCTGACATTCCCCTCAGAACCCCTCCTCCCCTTACTGACATGGAGAGAACCCCCCCTCCCAGCCCACGGGAGAGGGGAACCCCCAGCCTGACATGGAAGAGACCTTTCTGACATCTGACCTCAGTTGGAAGGAGCCTTCTCCCCCCAACCTGACATGGAGAACCTTCTCCCCCCCAGCCTGACATCTCCCAGCCTGACATGGAGAGGGCCCCCAGCCTGACATTTCTCGCCATTTCTTCCTCAGCTGCTGAGAGAGGCAGCTTTCTCTCAGCTGACATGGAGAGAATCTCTTCCATTGGTTTCTCTCCATGACATCAGGCCTGAGAAACATGGGGGTTTCTTCCATGCCTACTCCAGGCTGGGGGTCCCATGTCAGGCTGGGGGGTTTCTCTCCATGTCAGGCTGGGGTTCTTCCATGTCAGGCTGGGGGTTCTCCATGTCAGGCTGAGAATTCTACATGTCGACTGGGGTTCCTCTGAAAGTTCCATGTCCCGGGCTGAGGAGACTACCAGGCTGGGGGAAGAAAGGCCCTATCCATGTTAGGCTGGGGGGAGAATTCTCTCCATGTTAAACTGGGGAGAAGGACCTTCTCTCCATGTTTCCAAACTGAGAGTCCATGTGTTAGCTGAGAGATACTCCATGTGTTGGCTTTGAGGAGAAAATTCTCTCCATGTTGAAATTTCGAGAGAGGGGAAAGGACTATACATGTATTTAGGGAGAAGGGGAGAAAAATTCTCTCCATGTTGAAACCTCTCCATGTTAGGCTGGAAAAATTCTCACTCCATGTTAGGCTGGGGGAGAGGGAGAAGGTTCTCTCCATAGGTCGGGGGGAGAAGGTTCTCCTGGGGGGAGAAGGTTGGGGGGAGAAGTCTTCCATGTTAGGCTGGGGGAGAAGGTTCTCCATGTTAGGCTGGGGAGAAGGTTCTCTCCATGTTGGGGTTGGGGGGGGAGAAGGTTCTCTCCATGTTAGGCGGGGAGAAGAAGGTTCTCTCCATGTTAGGCTGGGGGAAGAAGGGTGTCTCCATGTTAGGCTGGGGGAAGAAGGTTCTCTCCATGTTAGGCTGGGGGAAGAAGGTTCTCTCCATGTTAGGCTGGGGGAAAGGTTCTCTTCCATGTTAGGCTGGGGGTTCTCTCCATGTCAGGCTGCATAAACCAAAAACAAAGTGATTTAACTCCTAAATTACAGTGAAATTGCAGGGGAATGATCTATACACTAAAACTGCTTTATTTAGCTAAAGTAATTTAGGTGACTATAGTGTTCCTTTAACTTGCCACCATTTTTTTCACCAATTTATTTCAAATTTTGTGGTGTGAAAAAAAAAATCAGATTGTTTTACATACATGTTGCATTTTCGCTGGGTATTTTGTATGTTTGATAAGTGCCATTGTCATAAATTCCCACTAAGTATGCTCAGTTACCTCTTCTGAGTAAAACAATAAGCCCAATGCATGACCTAGACACTATTTTGTGAAGGTTACAGTGCTGTAAAAGACGTGATAAGTTCAGGTTTTTAAGTGTGAACTTACATGGAGGGTTTTAATGGGTCCATATTCTATTTTGAAATATGTTAGAAGCCTTTTTCCAACTACCCCAAAAAGGCATACCATTTTTAAAAAAAGACACCGAGGGTATTTCAAAAGGCAAATTTTGAACCTTAGCGTGGGATCATTTTTCTGATAGTTTTTTTTTTTTTCTGCCTTTTGGACACACACAGTGAGTTTGTACAGTATATTTTGCAAACCTTATGTGTGCTACGGCTTTATTATACTTCATATGTTGCTCAGCGATGTTGTCTGAGTACAGCAATACCCCCGTATGTACCTTTGCCAGGCATATGTGGACATTGAAGGGGCACATTTGAGACACAGCCATTGCAGTTTTTTTCAAACTTTTTATTTTTATGCTGTGTCGTTAGCTCACTTTGGAGGTTTTTTTGGTAGGTTAATTATTCCAGCTACCCCATAAAGGCATAATGTTTCTTAAAGAAGACATCCCAGGGTAATTCAAAAGGCATATTATGAACCTTAGTCTGAAATAATTTTTCCGCTAGCTTGTACCAAGTGTAGTGGTAATAAGCATTTTTTCTGCTTTTTTTGACCCACAGTACATTTTGTACTGAATACTGTATTTTGCAAACCTTATATGATATATATATATATATATGATATCTTGTTTCCGCTAGCTTATACCAAGTGTAGTGGCAATAAGCATTTTTTATGCCTTTTTTTTTTTTTTTGGTAAATCTTTATTTTATTATGGCATATGTGTTATGGGGTACAGAATAGAAAAATGAGGCATTGTGGGGTAACACAAGTTAATTAACAGTAAATCCCCCAATTTTCCCACTAACTTCTACCCTAAATAAATAGCTAAATAAATAAATGTTTTACAAATATTTAAGTAACTAAATAAATTTAACCCTTGAGGATTAAATAAAATTAAAGTTAACCCTCAGGGGTTAAAAGAAAAAATCAGGTCACATTGAAATACTGTGATCTGTATTTTGATCACTGCAGACAGTGATCAAAGGGTAGGGAAGGGGTTAAATTTTATTTGAAAGAGGAGAGAGGGGGTGGGATTTTATTACTGACATTTTTATTTTTTTTACAGAGTGAGACAGATCAGCACCTGAGCTGCGGGGAGACAGATCGGGTTTCACTGCAGCACCTGTGATCGCTATGACTCCTGGTCAGAGCGATCACATGGGCTGTGAAACTGCCCACAGTAGTATGCCTCCAACACGGAGACACACTACACGAACACTAAACCCACGATTGCAGCGATTGTGGACAGAAATTTAATTCCTTAAGGGGAGTGCTGCAATGATGGAAAATTTCCATCCAGTGTCCTTAAGGGGTTAAAGGAGCACTAAAGGGTCAGGAACACAAACATATATTTCTGACCCTATTATGTTAAAACCACCATCTAGCCCCCCTGGTCTCTCTTGCCTCCCTAAATATAGTAAATTCTTACTTGTATTCAAGTCTGTAGCTGCTGGCTCTGCCCCTGTCTGCCTCAGAATAGCAAGCTGCCTGCTGACCTCATCAGAAGTGTTGTTCTGAGCCAATCACAATGCTTCCCCATAGGATTGGCTGAGACAGTGAATGAAGCAGATCAGGGGCAGAGCCAGCACAGTCAAACACAGCCCTGGCCAATCAGCATCTCCTCATAGAGATGAATTGAATCAATAAATCTCTATGAGGAATGTTCAGTGTCTGCATGAAGGAGATACTGATATGTTGCGATGCACACTAAGCAAGACTGAGATAGGAAGCAGCTCTAGCAGCCATCTGAGGAGTGGCCAGAGAAGTTATCACTAGGCTGTAATGTAAACACTGCATTTTTTTTTTTTTAAAAGACAGTGTTTACAGTAGGGATCGTCCGATATTCGGTAATTTCTGCAATATCGGTATTGGCCTATAGAGATACCAATATTGCCGATAATGCAGACCAAGACCGCCGGGCCCATGACAAGGAGACAAATGTTTGATCCAATGTTTAAAAACTGTTTTAACCTTAGTGAATACTTGCTTAATCTAGTTTTGTGTTCTAAGCAGTCTGTATTTTTTTTTTTCTTGTACTTTTTATCTTTCCAAAACCTAGATCTGACCCTGCTGCTTTTGATGCACGCTTGGACAAGAGGAAAGAAGTAGAAAAACAGCCCCTCGGTTACTCAAAGCAATCCGAATTTGCCCGTGCGATAGAGGATAAGGTAGCGCTTTGTTTATTGCATAACTGTGACTGTCTCTCCTAAATAAATATTTGTAGCAACCATGTGGATGAAAATAAATGTATCCCAGACAATTTAAAGGACCACTCTAGGCACCCAGACCACTTCAGCTTAATGAAGTGGTCTGGGTGCCAGGTCCCTCTAGGATTAACCTTTTCTTTTTTTTATAAACATAGCAGTTTCAGAGAAACTGCTATGTTTATAAATGGGTTAATCCAGCCTCTAGTGGCTGTCTCATTGACAGCCGCTAGAGGCGTTTGCGTGCTTCTAACTGTTAGAATCAGAGTGAGAAGACGCCAGCGTCCATAGAAAAGCATTATGAATGCTTTCCTATGAGACTGGCTGAATGCGCGCGCATTCAGCCGAAGAGGAGGATTGGAGAGGAGGAGGAGAGCTCCCTCCCCGACGCTGGAAAAAAGGTAAGATTTAACCCCTTTCCTCTCCCCAGAGCCCGGCGGGAGGGGGTCCCTGAGGGTGGAGGCACCCTCAGGGTACTATAGTGCCAGGAAAACGAGTATGTTTTCCTGGCACTATAGTGGTCCTTTAAAGGAACACTATAGGGTCAGGAACACAAAAATGTATTCCTGACTCTATAGTGTTAAAAACACCATCTGGCACTCCCTTTCGCCCTAAGTATAGTAAAATCTTTCCTTTATTCCAGTCTGCTGCAGCTGGCTCTGCCCCTGATCTGCCTGCTTGGTTGACCTCATCAGAAGTGGTGAACTGAGCCAATCCCAATGCTTTCCCATAGGAAAGCATCGGATTGACTGAGAATGTCTGTCTAGGAGGCAGATCAGGGCACTATACTGTGGTTCCTTCACAGTATAGTATATGAAACCATTTTAGCGTGGTTGGTCATTAAGCTGGGTCTCACGTGGAGCCCATGTTGCATCCGGTCTTCTCAGAGCTGGAGAAGCCAGCTGTCAGTTTTGTTCAATATATGAACAGATTCAGTCATTCATTGTCCTCAATCCTCTCCTGTCCATTAAGAGCGAATGCAGTGTGGATGCCTGACAGGACCCAGGCACATGAAGTCATGCTAAGATGTTTTCCAGATTATGCTGGGAGGGCACCTGGGAACTCCTGGCACCATAGCACTATTCCAGGCTATAAGGGTTATAGTGTTTGGAATGTTTCTCCCCCCAAAAAATGTCCCAAGTCTTCACTTATTTACTTACCTGTGTTTTAAAAACATAATGGCGATATTTTTATTAAAAAAGTGTTTTAATGCTGTCATTATTTTGATTGTATTTATTACAATGTTCTAAGAGTGATCTAAAAACCCAAAAATACAGCAGAAAATATAATAGTGTGATACAGTATAAAGTGCAGCTATATGCGCTGGTAGAATTACACTCACAGAATCAAACCAATATTGATGGCAGGACTCAATATATAATCCAAATAAAGATCTGCTTTATTTCATATAACCAGTATAACAAAGACATGCATAACATGTAACAAAGGGTCCTTTTATCTGCTTTAATTCATATAATAAGTATAAAAGAAATATGCATAACATAAAAAGCAACAAATGGTCCTGGCCTTACATGTCTAGTTGTATTTGCTGGTACAAGGATACTTTCTGGGATATCCTTGGAGGAAGCTGCACATACTCTTAATAAGATAAATACTTATTTTAACAACACTAGTCACAGATTGGTGAGGGTGTGTGATTCATCTAAAAAAATGCAAGTTTCTTCTCTTTTTTTTAATATTAAATTCCTTAATTTTTCTGAGAAATGTATATCTCGAAAGACAACCAAATTTAGCTGTAATTTAGAGAAAAGAAACAACACTTCTGTAAAGAAAAAAATAAATTTGTTGAATCAATGAAAAATGGTGTAGATTCCAAAATGACGTTAGGGCACCTAAAAAGCAACAGATAAAAAGATCGGACAGATTTAATAAATTGCGCTACAAACTTGCAGACACATGTTGGTACAAGGAAATTCTGCATTCTTCCCGTATAAAATTCATAGGGAAAGTGGTTCTTAATCATATTTTAAAACATGTAGTTTTTCCGTTCGTCACTAGACCTATGGATATGACCAGAACTAGAGGTATGCTAATGCATTAACATGTGTGGGTGGTATGTTAATCTATCATGTTAAGATATTATGACACTTTATTTATCTACACATCTATGCAGTCATATAAGTAAGATAATAAGCTATGTATAATCACAATGTTTTGATATCTATGTATTGTCTTAGTCGAAGTACTGATACACTGTATAGAGTAGACAAAATATAGTTTAACCAGTAATATGGAGAGTTGGTAGCAGGATTATATCACACCTGGTAATATATAGACCTGGCAGTGGGGTGATATTGAGACCCAAAACCATAAAGTAACCAGCTTCTCTCAAGAAGAAGGATGGCTTATCTATCAGTAAGTAAATGTTAAAAAAAATATATATGTACTTTATTCTCCTTTTAATTTGGGGAATAATCTAATAGGGCAGGGCACTGGGCTAAGCACTAACTAATTTTTACCCTGGATGGCACAAATACAATTTGCCAACTACTTCAACAAATAGGAAGGTGTGATACTTGGCAGTGGGAAGATATAGAGACTTGGAGACTTGGTAGTAGCGTAATCCAGAGACTATATAATAAGGTAATTATATAGACTTCCATTGAGAGCGAGCCATAATCTCCTGCACAAAGCTTGCAGCTTGCCTTAGCGCTCTGCAGGGTCCGTGCAGGGCAGCTCATTGGCTGAGCATGTCAACGGATTCCTCCGCACCACAGGCATTCGCTCAATGCAGAGATCTTCCGGCTCTCATTGAGGCGGTTACCGGCACCTGCCCGACTGCAGTTACATCATCAAACCATGATTACTTAGATTGGGGGGTGCCAGTGCATTCCTGGCACCACAACACTAGAACAAGCTGTAATGGTTATGGTGCATTATGTACGGAGAATAGGTGGTAGCGTATGTAATCCACGCAAGCTGGGTGGGTGCCAGTAAGCCGACAATATCCAGTGGTTTAGGTAAAATAAAGTCAACATAAATAAACATTAAAATGCAGATCATTAATATTGCGTACCTTGACACTATAAATAAAAATGGCACTCATGTTTATTTTTCTTAAGGGTGCAATGACTCCAGGGCCGCCTTCCTGGATAAGTATCAAAGAATAAACAAAAATTATGTCCAGCACTCCTTATTGTGAAAAGATGATATCCCTTTATTGGCAAACCAGCAAAGTTTTAACTGTCTGTCTTTATCAAGCAGGGTGACACTACATATGTTGAACTACATAGCTAGGATGGCAGACCGTGCAACATAGCAAATGTACAGTTCAGAGCATGCACGGCACTGAGGTATGAGTGCAGTGCTATACATTTTACTGTCCTGTTACATTGTTATAGATTACAAAAAATACATTCTTTTATTTACTACTTCTAGAGTCAATCCACTCTCTGTATAGATATGTTTTTAAGCTTTTACTTTCTGTGGGTCGCAGAGAAACAAATAATTGTGACATTTTAGTGGATGTACAGATGTATTGGCTACAGTGAGTATATCCACATCTGTGTAGGATATCAATAAAAGAAAGAAAATTGAACCTCTTAATATATATTCTCCCCTCCCTCCAATCTTTATAACGTTTTCAAAAACCTATAACAAAATTCTGATCCACCATCGACTCCTATACTTGTATGATAAGAAATAAACATTTGTTTTCATTTTGTGAAGCAATCGTTCAAAATACAAACTAATGGCTGTTTTTATGTGTTCATTTTTAGGTTGGGACAGGTTCGCCCAAAGGATTCACAAAGAACAAGGTGAGTTATGTGCTGCAGCCAGTAGTTGTCTGGCATCAAAACAACTTTATCTTAACCCTTTAAGGACACAGCTTCGGTAGTTTATAATTTATTAACCATAACTGCTTCACTATGCTACAGTTGTTTTGGTACCTATACTGTCACTTTATTTTTCTAGTTATTCCTTAAAGGATTACTCCAAGCCCGCTGTAGTGGTTATAATGCCAGGAGTACCCTGATCCACTTCCCCGGTATCAGGGCAAACTGACAATGGTTTTCTCACCTACCTGGTCCCTGAGCACCAGCTGAACGATCTCAGCCTACGACTGACTTTGTGTGCAATATATGATGCAGAGAGTAGGCATTAGCCAGGAATTTTTATATATGCTCCTTTTTCATAAAATTTCATCTATACATTGTGCTAGCAGTTTTGTTAGCAAATCTATAGAATTAGAGAAAAACCTACATAAAAATAGTTGTTGGTTTTTTTTTTTTTCTTCTCCCAACTCTCAGTCAATGCTGAGGCATTTACTGACAATGAAAAACTGAAAAGAACTCCCACTGCATTTCACAAGCATCGGAACGGCAGCAGATGTGCTGCGATTGCTATAGAGATTCCCACTCCGTTCCGACACCGGCACACAAAGCCAGCATGCCGACTTTACTGAGGTGGTTTGCCCTGCTTGGGCAAAGGTGAATCAGAGGATGGCAGTGGGTGTTATATAAAGAGTAAAACCCACTAAACGGCTATGGAACGGGGGAAAGGGGAATAAATCTCTCTATTTTACATTGAATACACCATGTATCTTTGTAATTTATAATGTATGGGAGCATTTCAGGTAAGTTTTTTTTCTCTACAGGTTTACTTTACATTAACAGTTCTGTAATTTCCTTTGGTATAAGAAACCTGAAAGTTCTAAAACATTGGTGTTGCCAGATGTAGGCCTTGCGTGGCACATCATCTGCCCACAATTAGAAAGTGCTCTAAAATTACTGCGCATGTCAAGTTGCAGACTTTGGCATTTGCTATTTTTTAAAAATTCGGACATGAATTTTGACTATATATTCATCCGTCAGAAAGACGAATTAACGAACTGTAATTACAAAGAACGACTGAAGATAGAATTTCAGTAATTTGTAGGTTATTATTTACAACAGTGAGCAGATATTTTAAACTTCCCTAATTTATTGATACCGTTTTTTTTAGTTTTTTTTTTGCTTGGTATGCATAAAGTTGTCGGAAAGACCCATTTCCGTCATTCAGCTTTCTGGTGGATAGATCCCTAATACTGTGGGAATTAGGAGACAATCTACTAAACAGCTGCAAGATGCAGCCGAGGCACGGATCAGAATTTCATTATTTTGAATTAAATTCCAAACTGAACATAATGACCGAACTTCATCCGAACAATACCTTAAAACGCCAGAGATTTTTTATTTATTTTTTAAATCTCAAGCAATTCTTTTAGCATGTTCCATAAACACAATGATGTCTAGGCCATGCTGTGCAGAGTTGCTGTTGGATTTTTGTAAACTTAAAATTCAAAAAATTTACCTGTGTGTGACTGCTGTCATACGTGACAGATCCAGCTGTTAGATATCCCATCATGACACGCAGTATTCTATTTGTAAATTTACTGCACAAATGTTTAGAACTATGACAAAGTAATTATATTCCCTCATGTGTTTCAGACACTTAATTCAATTGTAAACGTTGAGCTGATAAAAGACAAGAGCGCAGATGATATTAAAGAGGTAAGTTGGAAGTGATTGCCAGAACAGTTCCTCCCATGAGAGGCAATTATTTACATAAATAGACATTTTTATAATGTAATGTAACAAAGAAAAATCTAGAATTACACGTTTTATTTCCTACCTCACTGTAGGCTTTTCCGACCACTGAACCAAAACAAATTGTCATAATTTCACGAGAGCATTATTGTTGTTTCATTCAGATGAGTTTATTATGGATTCAATGTCAGTATCATGTTCATTGCATTCCACCGATGTGAACTACTTTACATGGATTATGTAAAAAAAAAAAAGCTTTCAGAATGAATATACCATTGGTTTCCATGGTGATTGCTTCACATTTAGAATGTTGCCCCACAATGAACTACAGCTGACAGAGGTTGATATCCCCAGAGATGCTTGTTTTTTAGGATACATTTGTGATTGGTATATTGTTAAGTTGTTTGCTTTAAATAAAACTTGTCTCACCATGGCAGCAATGACAGTCACCGCTGTCCATTCTTATCGGTTTAAAACATACATTTCGCCAGCTAGGCAATACATATCTAATAAAATTCTAAATTTCTCAAGAAATATGCAGCTTTTTTTTTCTTCTTTCACTTGAAATGTAATATTATATTTACCTTGGTGAAAACACGTTATCAGTGTACACGTTATCATGTGTAATTATTTGCTATTGCAATGATACAATATTAGCTACATAAAGTATTGGCTATTATCTGAAAGACGCTCAGTCTGCAGTTAATGCATCAGTTGCTGGCATATAAAGCTGAGCGTTGCACTCTTTTTAGTTCAGCCCATCTAATTGCCATTTTACAAACATTGCTGGCATCCCTATGTTTTATATATGATTCATCGGAATGCTTTAAAAGACGTTTCTTATTTGTGTTTGGTTTGTTTTGACTGCTGATCTGCTTTCTAAACCAAATTGATACAGATTTAGGGAACACAAACAAACAAAAATAAAGTTTTTACATTTTACAAGACTACTTAAAATCACCTATGTTAGCAAACAGATATGGGGATTCAGTTCCACCATATGGCCATATTGTGTTAAATCCGCCACTACTTTACAGTACTCCAATATCAGTGGCTCCTACACTAATCTTAACATGGGAGATACACATGCTAACTGCAATGCTTACTGCTTATGCTGCTTCCGGAGAGAGTCTTCAAATTTTATGCTTTCTTATGGCCATCTCCAAAGTGGTTCCTTTAGTGGAAGATTTAGCTTTTGGACATCACAATCCATTTCAAGTAATCACATTTTCTATAGGATCTATTTTAGCAGTAAATCCACTTCGAAGCTTGTCATGCATGGATAGATGTCTATGATTTTGGAAGGGTGTCCTTGATCAATAGCATGATTGTGGATAAGAATCAGCATTAATTATTTTCTTTTTCATTAAATTCATTTAGGACTATAACTTTCCGTCCCTTATTTCAAGTCAAATAAATATCTAGCTTATTGTTATAGGTTTTTGAAAATTTTACAAATAAAGATTGAATTTAAAAAAATATATATATATATTTTTAGAGGTAAAATTGTCTTTTATGATATCACGCATAGACATGCATATACTCAATGTAGCCAACACATCTGTACATCCACTGAAATGTCCTTAAAAATCTTGTCAAATATTTGCCGACATTCTCCTCAGCGACTGCTACACTTTCTATTTGCTGGTGAAAGTTTGCATACAGCGCTGTGGAATATGTTGGTGTTTTATAAACGATAAATAATAATAATGAGCTGAGATATGTACCTTTTTTAGTCATTTGTATGCTCCAAACAGAATGAAGTGAGGCTCAATCTAGAGTTTGGATGCAATCAAACAAATTATAGATTCACTTCGCAGCAAATTTAGTATGTGGAAATAAATATTTTGATTCATCTCTTTATGGTTACAGATTTGGAAGCAGTATTTTTCTGCACAAGATACGGTGTATGCAGTCATACCTGTAAGTATTACTTTCACTGGAAATACGCAAATGCTTCAACATAAAAACAGCTGTGACTATTAACAGTAGCCTGTAGTTAGTAGTGGCTATTAATGACTAACTGGTTTCTAATCATGCTGCTTTTTTTTGTTGCTTTTTTCTTACAGTACCCACATACTGTGTCTTTAATGTGCAATAAATATGTCTAGTAATTAGTGTAGCATGCTTTGGTCTTCTTCTGAATCACATTTTCATTTTTGTAAGTAGTTATCAGTGGGTCAGGAAGTCACCTATATTAATAAATATTTAGCGTAGCCATGCCCCTGGAATTATTGTCCTCATTGACCACTTGCAATGTTGAGTAGTATGCTTTAAAGAGCACAGTAATTCTATGAAATACATAGATTAACAATATTTTGTTTAAAAAGAGAGAAAAGAAACACACATTTAAACCATCAGCACAGCATTGCTATGGTAACAGTGATTGATGGTTCATTTGCATCCATCCCACAACCTGATCCTTGGGGTTCTCGAGGTTAAATCTTTATTATTGGGGTTTATTATGTCTCAAGAACTACTTAATGGCATGCATAGAACACACTTGTGCACACTAGTGTACCCACTAGGTGGCACTCGTCAACAAAGAAAAAACAAAACTACTACTAGTGTTAGTATTCGAGTTACATCAAGCACCGTGACCACTTCAGTGATTTGAAGTTGTCATGGTGCCTGGAGTCTGTGCCCGCAGCGTTATTCTTTGAAGCGCTGCACAGTTCGAGATTAACCCCTCTGCTGCCCGAAGGTGTAACGAGTGCTGAACTCGTCAATTCTGTGCAACTTTCATTGAACAGAACATCAGTCATTGGCTTAGAACGGTCAGCAGATGCTCTCAGACAATGTATGTTGACAATAAAAACCAAAGAAAATAGTTACCTGCACACTTTTCCAAATCCCTATGCATATTTAATTAATGGAGGTTTTTTGTTTTACTGCAATGGCCATTGCATGTAAGCCCACCTGCCACATCAAGGTAAAAATAAGTCCGAGCAATTTTAATTGTTATCTGTAAAAACAGCTACTAAAGGAGTTTAACCAGAAAAAAAAATACTTTATAAGTTTCAGGGGTACTCAAGCACTTCTGGAATACATAAGCTATAAAACGATTTATACATAATTATACATTTTATGGATGACTGCTAAATAAATTGTATAAATGCCCAGTAAGGTTATAGGGTTAATTCAATCATCATAACCACTACAGCCCTCTGCTAGACTCCCTGGTGGCTACTTCTGGCTCCTGCAGAGGTGCAGAAGCCTGGCCGTTAACATAAAAAAAAAGGTGTTGTGCTCAGACCCCCACTACTATTGGGCGCAAGCAATGACCATAGTACAAATCAGCCCCAATATATACAATAAAAAACAAAGAAAAAAAGTTACTTGCACACTATTCCAAATCCCTTTACCTGAGTTGAAGGAAGCAAGGTGAATGGTTAGTGTAGGACCCACCTAAGACGCTTGCCTTGACGTAGCAGGTGGGCTTACACCTAATGGCCATTGGAGTAAAACAACTTCCTGATTTGACTAGTGCGCAGATAACTCTTTTATTTGGTTTTTATTGTATGTATTGGGGCTGCTGTGTGCTATGGTCATTGCTACCGCCCAGGAGTAGTGGGAGTCTAAACACAGGACTTTTTTTGTGTATGTCAACGGACCAGCTTCTGCAGCTCTGCAGGAGCTGGAAGTAGTCACCAGGGAGCAGAGGGATGCAGTGGCTATGATGATTGAATCAACCATTTACCCTTACAGGGCATTAATACAAGTTATTTATTTAGTAGAGATCCATAAAATGTATAATTATGTATAAATCGTTTTATAGTTTTGGATTCTGAAAGTGCTTGCATGCCCCTGAAACTTACACAATTTTATATATATATTTTTCTGGTTATGAGTCACCATATTTTATGGCTAACCATTTATAAAAATTTGTGTAATTAAGCACCCACCCAGCTGCCTGCCCATCTGCATTTGTATACACAGGGCAATAAACCAAAATGTTACCAGAACCAAGAGATTGCAAAATATGTATATATAAAATCTGAATCATTGTTTTGTTCTTGGATTTTATTTATCTCGTGTTTTTTTTAATTCTTTCTTTAGGGTGAAGCTTTTGAGTTAATGTGGCAGAGAGCCCAGACCTGTCCTGCAGTGAGTTACACAGCTTGCTACAGTGGTTTTATTCTAATTTGTCATTACTTGACTGCCCACGGCTCCTTTAACATCTTCTGAACACTCACTACACAGATGTTTGCATACCTGCGTGTTTGCAGAACATTTGAGGCTAGTAATGCCCCCCTGCATTTGAATCTCAGTGTGTGCATGTTGCAAACTTGGCCTGCTGGCAGTAGGTCACTGCTCAATGTTTTAATAACCTCCTAGATGTCTTTGAAAGCTTATCATGTCCGCTTTGAAAGAGATCTAAGTTTTTTTTAAATGTATTTAATAAGAGTAACACTTCCAATTTTTGGTCATTGACCAGTTACATTGTGTGCAGACTCTGGATCTATTTTTAACTTTCTGACTTGGTATCTAAAAGAAATTTATTTTCTTGATAATTTTAAACATATATTGTTTTTTCATTGGACTTGTTTCCTGATCACTCCGTGTACGGTTGTCAGGTTGTAGCTATGGTAATTGCGTGTTATTGGTTTGTTTATGTGCTTGTTAGTGCAGGACCATCTAATGTTGGGATACTGTGACATTGTGGTAGGCTTAACACGTTTTGGTGTAACTTAATCCCCATATTTGTTTGCTTAGATAGGTGATTTTAAATGGACACTCCAGACCTGTAAAGCAGTTGAGCTTTCCGAAAAGCGTTATATATGAAGAGTATGTCCTGTTTTTTCATTTTGCAAAAAGTGCAGATTTCAGTAGAAATTGACAATGTTATAAATGATACTGGTTACACACACCTGGCTTTTGAAGACGACAACACAAGAGGCAGCAATTGCTCAGAGCACCTGCCTTGCAAATGCTTCTCATTGAGATGCATTGGGGAGTATGTGATTGGACAGCCAGAGAAAGTCTGGGTGGGATTAGAAGAGGAGGGCTTGCAAAGGCAGTAGACGAGATCTGCAGTTTTTGCAAGCTGTTTTTAGATATATTGCTAAGGAAAAATAGGCACAATTAAATGCATGCAAGTTTTTATTTAAAGTATATCTACTAAACAGATCTGTCTATTTTTATTTTATTTTTGGAACTGTAGTGTCCCTTTCAGTCTAACAGGTTATTTATTTGTGTGTGTGTGAACGCTGTTCCTTAACTTGTATGTTATTAGTGTCTTATTTCTCATGCAGAATATTTTTCAACCAATTAACATTGTAAAAAGCTTCTAATTAATATAGCTTGCCCATGTTGTGTATTGATTTGGTATAATTGCCTGGAACGTCTGCTCTTAACTGAGTAATTTTTACTTTATCTCCCTCAATTATACTGCCTGTTTGTCAATCACAGCTGCTAGTGCCACATTACAAGTAATACCACTTGAAGTGTTTTTCCACACAGTTAACCATTATTTTCATCAGATGACACTGTAGTAAACATAATAATTACCACTTGATGATATGAGGTTTTATGTTGTCTTGGAATTGTATTACATTTTGTAATCTGTCTGTTATTAAAAGGAAAAGTGTCACTATGAACAGAATTGGGAAATCAGCTTCCAATATTAGGAAAGAAGAAATGCAATATATGAACGGCCTGAAGTCAGATAACCCCTATGCCTGCTGTAGGTCAAAGTTTAATTTTAAATATTTTATTCTGCTTAACAGAATTTAAGGAACACAATGGTCACCAGAACTAGTACAGCTTAATGTAGTGGTTTTTGGGCACATACATCGTACATTTTAATTAATCTTTATGCTTTTTTTCAATGAAGAAACTTGATATTGAAGGGGTTACTCTGACATCTATCATTGGCAGGGGTCAAGTCCTGGGGAAAAAAGTGTGGGAACTCCCGAAAAACCCACCCCTCCCAAAATTATTATTTTTTTATATATATTATACGCTCCTATGCATATATATTTCTCAGAAAATACAGTGCAACATTTATTGTAAAGTGCCAGTTTACAAAGACATCTCCAAAAAAAATGGAAACCTCAAAGACAGAAGGAAACGTGCGATAAACACCTGACACACACACACACACACACACACACACACACACACACTAGAATATTGCAGTATGCAATGATGCCTTTTTTATTGGACTAATATAATATTTCAAAGACCACCTTTCGAGATGTATATATACACAACTACAAATGGAGATTACTGTGTGAACCCAATCAAAGTTGAGAAAAGTAATTGGCAGGCTCAGCTCCTAGACATCCAATATAGCTGTACTGGGGCTAGAGATAAAAGTAAGAAACCGCTTACAGGAGAGCTGAAGACAGAAAAAGGAGCAGGAACTGATATTGAGTTAAACTGATCAGTGGTCAGCCAGTCTGCATTCCTTAATAATAATAATAATAATATTGTTATTTATATAGCGTCATCAAATTCCGCAGCGCTTTACAGTGGGTGGACAAACAAACATGTAGTTGTAACCAGACAAGTTTGACGCACAGTAACAGAGGGGTTGAGGGCCCTGCTCAATGAGCTTACATGCTAGAGGGAGTGGGGTAAAGTGACACAAAAGGTAAGGATAGTACTAGACTAAAGACAGTTGGAGAAGAGGAATCAGTCGGGAGCTATTAAAGGACCACTCTAGGCACCCAGACCACTTCTGCAGTGGTCTGGGTGCTAGGTCCCTCTAGGATTAACCCATTTTTTTAATAAACATAGCAGTTTCAGAGAAAATGCTATGTTTATAAATGGGTTAATCCAGCCTCTAGTGCAGGGGTTCTCAACGTTAGTCCTCAGGACCCCCTACCAGTCCAGGGTTTAGGGATTACCTGGGTGTGTCTAAGGTGTTTAGAAAAAGAAAAAAAAAACACCTTAGAGTCTAAGGTGTTTTTTCCCTTTTTCTAAACACCTGAGACACACCCAGGTAATCACCAAATCCTGGACTGGTAGGGGGTCCTGAGGACTGGGTTGAGAACCCCTGCTCTAGTGGCTGTCTCATTGACAGCCGCTAGAGGCGTTTGCGTGCTTCTCACCGTGAAAATCACAGTGAGAAGATGCCAGCGTCCATAGGAAAGCATAGTGAATGCTTTCTTATGAGACTGGCTGAATGCGTACGCAGCTCCTGCCGCTCATGCGCATTCAGCCGAAGAGGAGGAGGAGGAGAGCTCCTAAGGGTGAGTGCTTTCCTGGCACTATAGTGGTCCTTTAACAGTTTAATTGATATCCCTAGTGCTCCTAAAAAAATACCTTCATGGGTGTTCTAAAGCTGTCCATAGTTACCATCAGAATGATCCATGTACCCCCTAGACGTCCCCCCCAACAAATGTCTAAACAAAAAACAAAATGGTGCTAAACACCCTGTGCCTCCATGAGTGCAAATAAAAAGAAAAATGTGAACAGGAGCAAAAACCCCACTCATCTTTGTCCTATACAATGTATTAACAGGTTGCCTTTACTTCAATATTTACTTTTCCCCTAATTTTTTAAAAACCAGCATAGAGTCTCTTCCTCCGCCTTTGGGGTGATACTCTTTTTATTTATATACACATATACACACATACAATGTGCTAGCTTCTAACTGCAGAGCAAGCCAAGCAATGCACTTACCCCCAGCATTGCAGAGGTTAATAGACCCAGAAATTAATTGTTCAAAAGGCTGTAATAAATGCTTTATAACACATCTCACAACCAAGGGATACAGGACACAACAGCAGCACTGTATCATAATTTTATCCCCAACATAAAGTTACTAAGAAAAAAGATTCTGCAAAGATTGATGGAGGATTTAACCCTAAAAAGGTGAGCTCACCCCAGTCAGAGATAAGATGCAGTAAATCTCGGTAAGATCCTTCTGATGCCAGTTATAAAGTTCAGTGAGGCCTACTTGGTAATTGGATGTTTGCTGAGAACAGAATCTATTAGCACAGGACAGTCCACAGTTAGCAGTGACTTACTGATAACTACAATAAGATTAATGCACAGGGGAGGCAGTGTGCTCTCTTGTGCTCCCTGGTGGCAGGAGGTGGGTCCAGTGCTGGGGTCATTAATTGCATGCTGGTGACTAGGTGTCCTTCAATGCTGACTTGTTTCCTCTGCCTAACTTGAGATGCAAGCTCTTCCAATTTTCCTCTCCTGCTTGGAGCCTGCGCCCTGCTGCTCAGTCGGAACCCGTCTGCTACAAAGGGCAGGTTCCACAGGACTTCTAAAGGGAATGGCGTTCCTGCTGTGAAAAAAGTGCGGGAACGCCGTTCCCACACGTTCCTGCAGGACCCGAGCTCTGGTCATTGGCCTATTCAAAACAGTGAATAGTTAGAGAAATATACAACAGTCAACATGAGGCAGATATCGGATTTATAAAACTGGATTCCACGTGATCTTCCACATAAGGCATGTTCTACCTACAAAATATTGTACTTTATGAAATGTTTTTAAAAAATTGACTGCCCTATAGAGTTGTTTTGTTTATTTTTAAAAGAACATGCCACCTCCAAAAAATACTATTTAGTAGATATACCCACAATGAAAACATGCATATAATTCATATTTTTTTTTTTATTGTGAATAGGTCTAAAAACATGCAGAAGCTGCAGTTCTCTTGTCTGCAGCCTTTGTAAGCCCTCCCCTTCTAACTCCACCCAGACTTTCTGTGGCTGTCCAATCACAGACTTTCCAATTCAGCTGAATAAGAAGTCTTTGCAAGGCAGGTGCTCTGGGCAATTGCTGCCTCTTTAATTGAGCTCCGCTGAGCTAATGAAACCCGGAAGAATCAGGTTAATTTATAAAAGTGTAATTATCTATTGAAATCTGCTCTTTTTGTAAATTGAAAAAGAGGATACACTCTTACATAGACACATAGAATGTGACGGCAGATGAGAACCATTCGGCCCATCTAGTCTGCCCAATTTTCTAAATACTTTCACTAGTCCCTGGCCTTAACTTATAGTTAGGATAACCTTATGCCTATCCCACGCATGCTTAAACTCCTTTACTGTGTTAACCTCTACCACTTCAGCTGGAAGGCTATTCCATTCATCCACTACCCTCTCGGTAAAGTAATACTTCCTGATATTATGTTTAAACCTTTGCCCCTCTAATTTAATACTATGTCCTCTTGTGTGGTAGTTCTCCTTCTTTTACATATAGTCTCCTCATTTACTGTGTTGATTTCCACATAACCTAAAACATTTGGGCAAGATAAAGTGCTTAAGGTGTTAGGAGTGCCCCTTTAACAACTTCCTTAATATTCTCCCCTGTCATGATATTTTTTTTTATTTTTTTTTGTATTTACCTGAATCTATCAGGCAGCAGGGCAAACATAATTTTTTTTTCTTTCATCGATTTTATGTTTTTGTTTAATAATCCTCTCCAAATACAAAATGTATTGTATTTGTAATGGAAGAGTACGCAGTCACCCCTTTCTTACATTGTATTCCCTGTTTTGCAGACAGAGTTAGTACCTCCCTGAAAAAGTACTGACATTTATGTATTGGAGTAATTCACATGCCTACCTTTTTTGTATTTTCTTTGCAGTTCTTGTATGCGCTGCCCAGGCAGGAGGGATATGAGTTTTTCGTGGGTCAGTGGTCTACAACCGAGCTCCATTTTACTTCTCTTATTAATATTCAGGTAGGTGCATTTTGGGCTGAGAGCCTATAAGGTTTAATTGCTTAGGTGGGAGCTGTGGAACATTAACAAGGGAATTTGAGGTTTTGGTGCAAAATAAGCGAGCCAGAATTGCAAGTCATGGATTATTTTCAGATTGATTGATTTGGCCTGAATTTTCTCTAATTCTGAGTTCAGTCTGTAAACCCAGGCATATAAAATACCCCCAAAAACAAATAAAACTATGTGTGAATGTTAACACCCCGAATCCCTTATAAATCCCTCTTCTTACAATCCAGCATTGCAGGAGTGTTACTCTACACCCCACCAAAGTTATTGCTGGATGGCAACTTTTAGAATTATCTGCCCTAGTCCTGTGCTAGTTGACAAATTGTGGCTTTTATAGTTCAACAGCAGCTGAAATGCCACAGTTTCACACCCCTGCTTTAGCACTTGGCTGGCTGCCTCCCTTCTGTCTCACAGTAGCTGTAATTTGCGCTGCTGTCTTGGGGAATTTAAACTGATTCATTGAAAAGTTAATCATGTTAACCGCCTGCTAAAGTCTGTTTCTGCTGTTCAGGTTAGAGTGAAATAAATGAGGGGGTATAGGATTCAGCTCTGAGACCAACGTAGAGGATGGAAGGAAACGCGCAAGAAAAATATTGTGACAGAAGGGATTACAGAATTAATATGCACATGTGTAATAGAGAGCTTGATGCTGCTAGATAGGTGGTTGGAATAATATGTGGGCGTCAGAGGACGGATTGTGTCTGGGTAGCAGTGAGATAAAAACTACAACTAATTGAGGGCTTACAAACGGAGGCATTAGTAGTCGTTTGCATATGTTTTGTAAAATTTAAACACATGTTATGCAGGAGGCGTAGCACTTAATTCGCTGTTTGGTGAGTTGATGAGCAACTTAGGAAATTTTCTGTCCAAATTTCTTCGTTTAAATAAAATAAAATAAAAAATCTTTAAAGGGTTCATGACGTGCTAATTTTTAGTTATTTCTGTATTTTTAAATATAACGTGTATGTGTTCAAACTGTTTTTGCAAGGCTGGTTAAAAATCAAAATGTTATCTGCCCTCTTCCAGACAGCAGGAGATTCTGCGCCAAGCCAGCTGATTTTGTATCATTTCACGGATCTCCTGAAAGAAAAAGGAATAGTTCTTATGACATCTGAAATAGACACCAAATTCTTGGTAAATATATTTTATGATTTTCCCCTCTTTGTAGAATCTTTTCTTTATTAAACATATGTTGTAGAGAATTACATTTTTTAGACTTTAGTAATCTGAGCAGGAGAAGAAGTTGAGTTGGAGATTATTTTCATTTAAGACTGTTTTAACCTACAAAATTAGATTTCTTTCTCGGTTTCTAGTGTAGTGAATAACCCTGTAAGATGCATTGGTTTTGTTATAATTGCTTTATTCACCAAACTCCAATTTCTGATGAATTAAAATCTAAATTGCAAAATGTATGCATACATATCTGATTCAGCTACAGTCACGGTATTGCTATTTTAACGTACATTTTGCCATTCAGATTTGGTTTCACTATAATTGAGTATTGTAAATAAACCTGTGTAGATGTTTCAAAATTGTTATGACACCAATCTTTGACATAAAAATTCTTAGTAGATCTCATCACTTTTTTCCAGATATATTGTGTTTTTGGCTTCAGAGAATGATTCGAAATTTTGAATTATTTTTACTTTTGAGTGCTTCTGAACAGATATTCGTAATTATTCACTAAATGCCAGATTCAGTAACATTCTCCATTCTGTTCTGTTTGGCTGACACATTTCCTCCTGCTTTAAAATCAACCCAACTGAACCTGCAGATACTATTTGTTTGAACTTATATCCAGCTGAAGACAGCTTAACTGATACTGAATGACAGCTGAATGCTCCTAATATTAGAGTCGGGTTAGGTTAGTGGGGCATAGGGTCACAGGTGCAGTTCTACAGGTGTTTTTCAGCGGAATGGCACTAAATGAAGAGCAATAGCCAAATTAACCAATGTGTAGAAATCCAGCTGATTTTTACATCTAGCTGAATGGTAGCTATATGGAAGTGCAAATAAGGGTGAATTTAGAGGTCCACATCCATTTAAATGTTGTTAAGACCTTAGTAAATAGCCTCTTTGTATCTTATCCTTCCTTCTTGGAAAGAGTAAAAAAAGATTATGCTACGCCTGTGAAGTGTGCAGTGTTAGCCAATACCGTGTGTAAATCAAACTTAGCTCAAAGTGCCAAGCAATAGGTTTATTCTTTAAAAATACACTTTCTTAAAGAATCTTTAAAACAGCCATCTTAGATTGTTGGTGCCTGTATTACAAAGTTCACAGGTAACACAATGTGCATTCTTTGCTTCCAGAACGTGCAAGAAGCGCAGTGCTTGGCCAGTCAAGTCCAGCTGTTCTATGCTGGAGATCAGTCAGAAATATTCCAACACGTAGAGACATTCAACCACAACCCAAATGAATTCAAATACATGTCGGTTGTTTCTTCCTTGGAGCAAAGTGGACTGGTGAAAAAACCTTCAAGTTTGCAAGAGAGAAAGTAAGATGGATAATATGGCACGAGGATGCCGAAGTTCTTCTTGGAAAAGCTCTCGCTTTATAAGAAATGGTGCGGAGTAAAAAAAAAATAGAAAAACATTGGGGTCAACTCTCTTACTTCTCAATAGATGTATCCTGTTCCAAAGAAGTATTAACATATTAACGAAAAGACATAAATGAATATGGACAACTACGTAATGAAGAAAGGAAGGATCTGTTAAAAAAAAATAAAAAATGTCCATACTTCACAAAATATTTTAATTCCAAATCTTTGACCTCGTGGATGTATAAATCCCTTCTACCTTTTTGGAATTTGCAAGATACAGCTCTTGTTATACGGTTCTGAGATGATGATTGTAGACATGATTTCAGTTTATTGAAATAAGCCACAACCCCTCCCCCCAGGCTGATTTTTGAAGATAAAGGGGACAGGCTGTTATCCTTTTGTGAGGATATTGTCAGTATTCAGAGCATTAACTTACCATTCATTGTATGCTGTATTTTGTCACTTTCAATAAAATAAAATACGAACACAGCTGACAGTTTAATGGTAAGGCCATATTGTCACATGTTGTTGGTGGAGCATGCTTTTAAAGTGATTGGATGGCATGTGCTGAATGTAGATGTAGTTGCTAGATGCGATCATAAAAAGAGCATAACAGAACATTTATGGAAATGGATCTTCTCTCTCTCTGCCGTTAGTGCAGGAGTGGTGAGTCACAACTAGAGGCAGGGCAAAATAAGAAGAATATGTGAACGGTCAGAAATTCAAAGTGAATTTAAAATAGCACATTGAAAACATAGCTGACTTTTCAGCTACTGTGTCATAAAATTTGAAATTCACTTCAAGTTTCTAACAGTTCACAATTTAGAAAATTAAAAATGTGAATATAGAAGAATCCAAAAAGCTTTATTGATACACTGCAGTGCCAGTCTCTGTGGGGAATCTCCGCCTTCTTGGCTGAGAGCATCAATAACGATGTTCCAGCCAAGCCAATGCTTTCTCATGATACCATGTAATTGCAGTAGAAGAGTTTATTTTTTTTGGCAGAAGTGCTTCCTGTGTCTGTGTGAGTGACAACCTCTAGGGGCATTTAACCATTGCAATGCAAACATAGTTTCTACAGAATGACAATCTTTTCACATGCAAGGTTAAAGGGACACTATAGTCACCAGAATAACTACAGCTTATTGAATTTGTTTTGGTGAGTCGAATCATTACTTTTTGCTGTAAACACTGTCTTTTCAGAGAAAATGCAGTGTTTGCATTACAGCCTAGTGATAACTTCACTGGCCACTCCTCCGATAGCTGTTAGAGATCCTTCCTGGGTCATGGCTGCCTAAAATGCATCCAAACATTCAGTATCTCCTCCCACGGCATGCAGACACTGACATTTCCTCATAGAGATTCATTGATTCAATTCATCTCTTTGAGGAGAAGCTGATTGGCCAGGGCTGTGTTTGAATCATCCTGGCTCTGCCCCTGATCTGCTTCCTTGTCAGGCTCAGCCAATCCTATGGGGAAGCACTGTGATTGGATCAGGCCACCACTTCTGATGATGTCAGCAGACAGCATGCAGAGCTACAACTTCAGGCTTGAATACAGTAAGATTTTTCTATATTTAAGGAGGCATAAGGGGTCCAGGGGGGCTAGATGGTGGTTTTATCCCTATAAGGTCAGGAATACATATTTGTGTTCCTGACCCTATAGTGATCCTTTAAAACGGTGGAGACATGGCATTGAGATTAAGTGATCTGTGTGCCTGTAGTGTCCCTTTAACAGTCCCTATTAGTAGGAAAGAATAAAGGCTAAGCCCAAATGCATTGGGTTGGGCTCACTCTATGATGCATTTCCTTATACCTATCTGTGAGTATCAATAAATCTTTTTCTATTCTCTGTAACATGTCTTCTGAATACCGGACACTTGTTTTCTCCTGAGTTTGTCTCCCTTAGCCCACTGATTTGGCTGGAGATCATCAATTCCTGATCATTTCTTCACTGTTGTCTATTATTGTGAGCCTGATGATTATTTTATCAATGTTACTTGACAGGAAATTAAGATTAATATTGTCCTCCTAACCATGTTATATCTGTTTGGGATGTCACTTAACATCTCCACCTGCTGTTCTGTTATTAATTTTATAGGAGCTCTCCAAGCACTATAACCACTACGAGTGCTGTACTGGTGTGGTGCCATGGGTGCCCTTGTTTCCCCACATTTTAAGTATTTAAAGTGCTGTAAAATTGTTTGATTTCTTTCCTGGGGTCCACCAGACTCCTCTCACTGCCTCCATTAAATTCAACAGAAAGCCAGAAGGTCTCTGCCTGACCTAAGTCCGGTTGTGCAGTTCTTAGCTCATTGGCTGATAATGGTCAGCTGATACTCTCAGCCAATGACCTAGACCTGCACTGCAGAGTTAATAGAAGCTTCTGCTGTCAGACATTATGGACTTCAGGAGTGGCGCTTGGCAGGCCCCCAGGTTAGAAGACAAACTGCTCTTAAACAGTTTGAATTCTTACATAAGGGGAAACCAGGGCACTCCTGGCACCATAAGCACTACAACAAAATATGTACCTAAAAACATATTATTTTGGCTGGATTTTTTTGCAAGACATGTGCTCTGAGCAATTGCCTGTCTATTGAGCTTAGCTCCACTGCACTAACCTACCAGGAAGTAACAGTTGAAGTGCTTTAGGGTTCTTGAGTGCCCATTTAAGATTTTAGCAAATTACATCATAATCCGGTTCAGAGAGGGCAAACATTATGAAGAGGAGAAACAGAATTATTGGAGATTTCTACATATTACAGGGCAATGCTTTTTATGAACTGCACATTTGCATGTAGAACTATACACTATAGTCACCCACACCACTTCAGCTCAATGAAGTGGTCTTGGTGCCAGGTCCCCAAGGTTTTAAGCCTTCAGATGTAAACCTAGCAGTTCCAGAGAAACTGCTATGTTTACATTGCAGGGTTAATCCAGCCTCTAGTGGCTGTCTTCCTGACAGCGGCTAGAGGCGCTTCTGCAACGCTGGATGCGAAAATCGCATTCAGCGTGCAGAATGTCCATAGGAAATCATTGAGAAATGCTTTCCTATGGACTGTTTGAATGCGTGGCTCGCATGTGCATTCCGCTCCACTCGTCACTCGCTGACGTCAGTGGGGGGAGGAGAGGTCACCGGCGCTGTATTAAGGTAAGTGGCTGAAGGGGTTTACACCCCTTCAGCCCAGCGGGAGGGGGACCTAAGGGTAATATAGTGTCAGTAAAATGAGTTTCTTTTCCTGACACTATAGTGATTCTTTAATTCTGTGCATTCTGCAAGCCATCAAGTGCTGTCTGGTAGCATGCTACCAATTTAAAAATCAATACATTAATCGTGAAGGAGATATTTTATTAACGACTGCACACATGAAGCATATGATCCCCACATACAGCCTGGCAACTTTTAGAATGAACAGTACATCATTCAGCAAGCAGACATCCCTAGGGGAACACACAGAGCACTGGAAAGCTCTATATTTTGATAATGTACAAGTCTCTGGGAGTCTGTATGTTTTGTTCCACTCTATATCAGTGAATCCAATTTCCTGAATCCAGCTGGGCTCATCTGCCTTTGTTATTACAGCTGTCTTGGAGCTTGGGGGTAAAATCCAGGACAACGGCAATTGTACGTTAACTGTGAATGTCATAATACTGTCAGATTTTGAAGTCTGCGATGTCTCATCAGTGCAACAGTACCCCCCATGTACAGATTTTATGGGATTTGGAAACTTACAGAGTCAAATATAGCACGTTCCATGTATTTTCAGTTCTTACACATGGAAATTTGCAAGATTGGTTATGTTGCCTTTGAGATCGTGTAGCATGCCACAATGGGGTTTATGTTAATTCCTGGGCTACCATTGGGAAAAGTAGACAGCAAGGATATTGAGAATGTCCAGTCTCTTTTAGTAGCCATTTAGTCACAAAAAAGGAAAATGTATTCCTTCTTACTGTAATTTTCTTTTCCTGGTCATAGGCCATGGCAGCACAACAATCGGTAGCTCCTCCATATCCCTAACCAGACAGGAACCTAATTAAAACAGAAGGTATAAGTAACCCCTTCCACCCTCAATCTTGTTTCCAGCAATATCCCAGGGCAGGATCTTTGTGCTGCCATGGCCTATGACCAGGAAAAGAAAATTACGGTAAGTAGGAATACATTTTCCTGGCCATATCCATGGCAGCACAACAATGGGTAATACCCAAGCAATAACCAAGGGAAGGAAAGAAGTACACAAGACTTCCAAAATATGAATGCAAATTGACAACACACACACCTCATAAGGACTTGAAAAACTGATTGCCCACTAATGGCACATTATCAAAATGACCAACTCAAATGTACCAAAAAAAAAATGTCTGAAAATTGATTGAGGATCAAGCAGCCATTTACCTACAAGTTCCAGGGAAGTTTGGCCACCGATGCTCAAGAGGGAGAAATGGCTCTAGAGCAAACATACCTTTAAGTGCTGTAATCCCTAGGATTTAGTAGCCTAAAAAACAGTCAGGACTATCCATCTGGTGATGGCTTATATAGAGGCTTGAAGATCTTTATGGTCTATTAGTAAAGATAAACAGAAGAAATCCAGAAAGTGGATCTATTAAAATAGATCTTAAGGCATCTATCTAGGACAGGAGGAGAAAATTTTATTATGGACGCTACATACTATGCAAAATAGTGCTTGAGGATCTAATATCCTTCAGTCCATGCCAATGTCACCGATAGAGCTAACTTAATGTTAAGCAATTGTGGAGAGATATACTCTCATGGTTAAAAGGGGTGAAGATTTCAGAGCCCTAAAAAAAAAAAAAAAACAGGGAAGAATTCCACCGAGAACATAGATACTTCCATATTAAAGCACTTTCGCGAAAAGAGAGATCAGAGAGTGCTGAGCCATATCTCTGAGGTGATGTGGCCAATTCCTAGATAAGTCCTGGATTGAAGAATGTAGAAGAATGA